AAAGGGGACAATAAAAACTCGGGTAATGACCTAATAGTAATGAATAATGCTCTAAACTATCGATTGATAAACAAAAGTCGGGGAAAAATAATTTTTATTTTTATTTTTAAAACATAGTATCTATGTCTAGAGTATAGCTGCACGGCTATACGATTTATACCAAAAAACAAAAACAAAAGGACCCGCCTATCGTCTAGCGCCCAACTAGCAATTTGGTGCCCACGTGTCAAAAACAGTATAGCCGAGCTGCAATAATAATAAAAAAAGTTAGTATAGCCGAATGGCTATACATTTTTTTTATAAGTAAATCCAGAGTATAGCCGACCGGCTATAGGATATACTATTTAAGGTTTTTTTAGGTTTTAGACATAAAAAAAATTTCACTTTTGGAAAAAGCCAAAGCTTTTTCAAAAAAGACAAAAAAACCACTCAACTTTCAAATCAAAGACATGCAAATGTATTGAATTCCTTATGAAATCTAAAAATAAATAAGGGCATTTTTGTCCATTTTTGCTTCTTTTAAAATTTTTCTCTCTCCTTTTACTTTTTCCAAAATGTCCCTACTATTTATAGGAAAAAAAGAAAAAGGGACCCGCCTAGTGCCCACGTGTTTAAAAAACAGTAGAGCCGCCCGGCTATACTATTTTTTCATATATAAAAAAACCGTAGTATAGCCACACGGTTATACTCTTTAAGTATATTACTAGCCTCTCTGCACGCGCTTTTGCACCTGCGAGAGGCTTTTTTTAAAAAATAATTAAATTTATTTTAGAATTAAAAAAAGAAAATGGCGTAGTTGTGTTTCATAAAAATAGGATCCATTATCTGATTTTTCTTTTAATTTTATTTTTTTTTAAATATGTAAATGTGTGAATTTACCATATTATCCTCATTTAATTAATAATTTCAATTCTTAATATTTGCATTAACGGCATTTTTTGGTATTTTGAATGTTTCACCATTCTCTACTTTTTGCTTTATATATAGATATTCAAAAGGAGTATAGCCAAGTAGCTTTACTATTTATTTATAAAAATTTATAATAAAAAAAGGACCCCTCTAGTTGCATTAGTTTATACTTTATAGATTTAAATTTTTTTTTAATATATATTACTTTTATTCAATAATATGTGAAAATTATGTGTAAAATACGTGAATTTTGTGTGTATTATTGAAAATTTTGTAAATAACCAAGTGTATTAAACATGAAAAATACGTACGTATATGTACAATACAAGTATTAAACATGAAAAATGCTAAATTCTTTATGATGGTAATAACTCTGAAAAAGCAAAAACTCAAAAGGGTATAATAACGACTCGGGTAATGGCCTAATAATAATAGATAACGCTCTAAACTATCGATAAACAAAAATCGGGGAAAAAAAATTAAAAGAAAACATCTCAGTATCTATATTTAAAAAAAAAATTCAAAAATGACCCCAGTAAAGCCAAGCGGCTATACGTTTTTTAATAAAAGAAAATCCCGACGCGGCTATACTATTTTTATATATATATTTTTTAAGACCTGCCTAGCGCCCAACTAGCGATTTGGCGCCCACGTGTCAAAAACAGTATAGTGTTTGTATTCACCAATATGTGAAAAATAAGTGAATTTTAGTTGTATTATTCAACTTTTTGTAATGAAATGCTTGCTTTTTGATCTTTTGGGTGTTGTTGGTTTAATCCTTTGCTATAGTTGGCTTGCTGCTTGCTGCTTGCTGCTGCTTGCTGCTGCTTGTTTTTGATCTTTTGCTGCTTACTTTCTTGCCAACCGACGTCCAAGACCGGTCTTTTCTTTTTCTTCTTTTTTTCTCCACGTCTTTGTCCTATTCTCATTAATGAAATGCTTGCTCCCCAAACAAACAAAACCCATTATTTTCGTCCAAAAATTTAAATATAAAAAAAAACAAACAAACAAAACCCATTATTTTCGTCCAAAAATAAAATAAATAAATAAAACAAACAAAACCCATTATTTTCGTCCAAAAATTAAAAACAAAAAACAAAACAAACAAAACCCATTATTTTCGTACAAATACATTGTTGCATCTAGGCCTCATCATTTGGCCCGCGGGCTCATGGGCCGATGGGGGCCCGCCCCGCCCCCCGGAAAAAAGACCCGCCCCGCCCGCCGTGGGCGTTC